GGTGGTCGGCGGGATGGGGCTGCTGGAGGAGTGTGAGGCCGCCTTCGGCTCCCCCGACCTCTACCGCCTCCTGGGCGTTCGCCGGGAGGCCTCCCCCGAGGAGATCCGCCGGGGGTACCACCGCGCCTCCCTCCGCGTCCACCCCGACCGCGCCGAGCCCGAGGAGAAGGAGGAGGCGACGCGGCGCTTTCAGGTGAGCGCGGGAGGGGAGAGGAGGAGGAGGAGGACGAGATGATGTGGGGGCGGTGGCCGACCCTGGCTGGGCTGGACGGACAGACGGACATTCTGACTGACTGACTGGGCTGGTTGGCTGGGCTGTGGGCACTGACTGACTGGGCTGGGCGGACGGACGGACGGACAGACTGGGCTGGCTGGCTGGGCTGGGGGGAGCGACAGGGCTGGACGGACAGATGGACGGGCTGGGTTGGACTGACTGACTGGGCTGGACGGACAGACGGACGGGCTGGGTTGGACTGACTGACTGGGCTGGACGGACAGACGGATGGGCTGGGTTGGACTGACTGACTGGGTTGGACTGACTGACTGGGCTGGACGGACCGACTGACTGGGCTGGTTGGCCGGGCTGGGGGCATTGATTGACTGACTGACTGGGCTGGAGGGACTGGCAGGGCTGGACGGACAGATGGACATTCTGACTGACTGATTGGGCTGGACGGACCAACTGGCTGGACTGGAGGGAGCGACAGGGCTGGACGGACAGACGCACGGGCTGGGTTGGACCGACTGACTGGGCTGGTTGGCCGGGCTGGGGACATTGATTGACAGACTGACAGGGCTGGATGGACAGATTGACAGGGCTGGACGGACAGACGGACGGGCTGGGTTGGACTAACAGGCTGGGCTGGAGGGACTGACTAACTGGGCTGGGCAGACTGGGCCAGAGGGACTGACTGACTGGGCTGGATGGACATACGGACTGGACTGACTAGAATGGATGGACGGGTGGGCTGGGCTGGAGGGACTAACTGACTCTGCTGGGCTGGAGGGACTACCTGACTGGGCTGACTGTCCCCCGTGTCCCCACAGATCCTGGGTAAGGCGTACGCCGTCCTGAGCGACGCGGAGCAGCGCGCTGTGTACGATGAGCAGGGCACGGTGGACGAGGAGGGCGAGGCGCTGCGGGGTGAGCGGGACTGGCAGGAGTACTGGCGGCTGCTCTTCAAGAAGGTGAGAGCTGGGCTGGGGTCTGGGCAGTGGGTGCGGGGCCCTGCAGGGCTCCCCTCTGCAGGAGGGCAAGCCCCCCGGGATGGGGAAACCCCCTGCTTCAGAGCTGTAGCCTGTCTCCCTCACGGGCTTCGTGTAAAACACAGGGTTTTCTTACGCTGTCTCTTAAATCCTGGTGAATACATCCTGTAACTCAAGGAGTTTCATCTCTCCGCTTCAGATCACCATAAAAGACATCAAAGACTTTGAAAAGAGCTACAAAGATTCAGAAGAAGAGCTAGCTGATATTAAAGCGGCATACATGGATTTTGAGGGTGACATGGACAGAATAATGGAGTCAGTGTTGTGTGCGGAATACACAGATGAGCCAAGAATCCGGAAAATCATAGAAAAAGCCATTGACTCTGGAGAAGTCCCGTCCTACAAAGGTTTTGTAAAAGAATCCAAGCAGAAAATGATGGCAAGAAAAAGGCGGGTAGGTTACAGCAATCAATCAGGGACCAAAAGGAAACATTATTTATAATAAGCTTTTAATGTCCCTTGATAGAAATAAATGAAACTGTTCTTAAAACAACCGTTTGCCACAGGATTGCTGGGTTACAGATCTTGACTTTCACATTTAGTCACCTGTGTTCTCCACCCCCACCCCACCAAATTGCTGCGAAAGGCTTTTGGAGTTGCAATTTGCTGTCACCTATTACTTCTTTATTTTATTTCGTTATTATATACAATGGCTGAGTACAGTTTAGCATGACCGTTCGTTGATTTACAACGGATACTGGAGTGAAGAAGTGTTCATGGGGTGGGAATCATTGTGCTTGCCTTTTGGCAAGTGTGAAACAACATCCTGGACTAAATGGAAGCTGGGTTCTCCAACCTGGCTTTTTTTAGACACTTTATAGAACACCTTACGTGCACATCACAGTAATCTTTAAATTAAAGAGAATGTAGTAGCTGCTAGGACAAAAAAAGTATGGGTGGGGGGAACAGAGTCGGACATCCCATTCAGCATTGTCAAACGATGCAAAAAACCAAACAAAACACTTGGTAACTACTATACAACTTTGTCAAATAACGTGCAAAATACTTTTTAACAAACTAGTTTGTTATTTTAGGCAGAAAAAGAAGCTAGAGAGGCAGAAAAGGCCAAAGACGAACTGGGCCTTGGTGGAGAAGATGACTTGAAAGCACTGATTCAAGTAAGGCTTTTTGCATCTGTTGAAGATAATTACGTTACTGGCTTATACTTGTATTTTCCCTGAGCATCTTTGTATTTTGGATCCTTGCAACTCTTCAGAGATCCTGAGGTTAAAACTTGACATTAAT